CTGTAAAAGGCCTGAGAGATTTTCCTTGTAGAATATCTCAGTGAATTTATTCTTGACTTTGTCAACTCATTCAATCAGTCTTTTCCCATACATTTGTTTATTCATCTATCCCTTTTTATTCTTTCTATAATTGTTTATTAAAGTATCTTTATTAAGCTCTGTTTTAGACACTGGAAATATAGCAATTAACAATAGAGACAAAAATATTTGTTCTTGGGGAGTTTAGACACTCGTGGGGAGATTGAGAAAAAGATTACTACATAGAAATATGATATATTAGAAGGTAAAATGTACTAAGGAGAAAAATAAAGTAAGGAGAGAAAATACTGGGGGATTGCATTTTTAGATGAGATGACTGGGGCAGTTTCCACCAGGAAAATGACATTTGAGGAAGGCCTGGAAGACAAGGAGCTCCCATGCTGGTGTCTGGGGTAAAGTCACCCACACTCAGGGGAGAGGAACAACAGGCGTACAGTGAAAGGAGTAAATCTTGCTTGTTTGAGAAACATATGGAGGACCGAGATGTACCTGGCCTCCTCAGTGATGGAGGCCATGGAGACCCTTGTAAGAACTGTGGCTTTTACTCTTGGTTAAGATGTGCGGTTATTAGAGGGCTTTAAGCCAAGGGGTGGCATGATTCCATTTGAATTTTTACAGGATTGCTTTGGTGCTGTGTTAAAATAAGTTACCCAGTGAGCAAGAACCAAAACAGGGAGACCAGTTATTATAACAATATAGGCATAAGATGAAAGTGATTTGGTCTAGCAGAGTGGCAGTGGAGGTGGTGAGATGTGACCAGATCCTGAAGAAATTTTGAAGGTATAAATGACAAATTATAATAGTTCACATTTATATAACCCTACCATATACTAGGTACCATTCTAAGTGCTTACATATTTATGTCCATATGAGGAAAATGAAGGGCAGAGAGGTTAAGAAATTTGTCTGAGGCCTCATAGCTAATGCTATTACAGTAAATAAAGCAACCAAGATTCAAACTCAGGCAGTCTGACTTCAACTTTGTTTTCTTAATCATATCAATACAACTTTTTGAAATAAATACTTAGGCACTACAGTTAACAGCCTAATCTAATGAGCATTCTTAAAGAATACATACATTCTAAATGATACGAGTAGATAATTATCACTGTGGAGCATGAATAATTTGAAGCTTTATGAACCATGACTTATTTATGCAAACAACATAGATATTCAAAAGAGAAGTTGCTTCAAATTTTGCTGGGGATGTTGTAGGATTGTCAATGATCTAAAATGAACAAAAAGAGTGCACTGGCTCAAATTAAAATTACTAAACACATTAGAACTTTGTAATTTTAGTACCTAATGAAAACGATTGGAAGATCTATTATTTAAAAGGAAAGGCCAGGGTTCTTTCTAGTCAGGAGGATAGTAGCATGAATTTAAAACTTACTGGTTCATGCGATGCTGAAAGTGAAGTGAGGTCTATTATTTGGGGTAACACCAAGTTTAGTAATTGGGGCTATATCTTACCTCAACTAGACAAGTGGTAGTGTTTTAAAACCAGAGACACTCATTTCAAGCTCTAAATTATTGTAGGAGTTACAGTCCCTAAAACCAGGATGCTGTTTTTAGTAGTTGGAGCACTGAGAACTACTGAAATGGCTCTTATTTTAAACGTCACAGGCCATTTTCAGGTGAATTTGATGGAATAATAATCACACATGAGAGATATGAGGAAAAACAGATTTTTTTTCTTTGATTAGCTTGTTTTCCTAATTTAGTGTCAATAATTCTTTTCCTTGTGCATGAATACTAAACTACTTTAGGAGATGGTCTGATTTTTGACAAAATAAAAGGAATAAATGCCTCTACGTATACAAAGTAAAAGAGCATTTCCCTCAGATACAATGTGATGTGTGACACTCTGTGTTCATGAGTGACCAAAACACCAATTTTTTTCTCCTGGGTGTTTTCTTACACTTTAAAAATAGTTCAAATTCAAGTACCTGCTCTCCTCAGTGAATTAATGATATCACTGTAGTTTTAGATTTTTTGATTTATAAACACTTTCTAAATGTTTATAATTAATGTTTTATTTTTCCTCTTATTAATAGGCTATATCTCAAAAGAATTATTTTTTAAAATTTTGCTTCTGCCAATATGTAATAGTAACAATTTAGATTCAGATTATCATCACAGATCAGGATTGTGGAAGATGTGTTAAGACTGAAATCTTTCTAAATTCACATTCCCTTTTTCACAATTTGACTTCTTAGAAATATCCCAGGGTTTAAATATCATTATAATTTTATATCTACATTCTAATCCTTTCAAGGTATGAAAGGATTTGTACCAAGTTAAAAAAAAAAGAGTCTATGTATAAATATACACATGTAAAGATAGATGTGAGCTGTATATGAGGCATTCAAACCTAATAAAAGATCATATATATTAAAAATTATTATTTGGATGATAATAATATGTCAATGTAAGTTCATCAGTTGTAACAAATCACCACTCTGGTGAGGGATGTTTATAATGGGGGAGGCTATGCATGTGTGGGGGCAGAGGGTATATGAGAAATCTCTGTACCTTCTGCTCAATTTTGCTGTGAATGTTAAACTGCTCGAAGAATAAAGTCCATTAAAAAATACTTAGTGCAATGTTAAGCTGGAGAAGCTCATCATATAAAAGTCAGCAAATCCAAATTAAAACTCCTTTGATGATGTTCCACTTAATAATGATGCATATCTTATATATTTATGATATACATTAAAAAAATAAAAAGCACAAGGGTATAGGAAAAGAATTATTAGGTTTAACAATTAAAAAGTTAAAATCTGTTTAATATAGTTGATTTAATACAGCTGTATCACCCATGGCCCTTGAATGTTTTTACTTTGTGCTGAGTTACTCAATTTAACTCTTAGCTTGGTGCTCATTTTCAGAGTCAAATAGAGAGGATATTTCGGTGCCATGTGTCACCACAATTATATCATTGTGACTCTGTCAATACTAAACATGTCCTGTGGAGGAAAGAACATGGAGAGATGTCATTAGGCGGGGGACAGAAAAATACAAGGCAGAAGGATAGAACAGTTGCTTCCCTTGGCTTGGCTCTGATTTTTTGAAGCAAGTGCTTTATTTGAATCAGTTCATCTTCCTGGCCCAATGTCTCACATGGAAAGTCATCTCTCTGGTGTGACACAGCACCCTATCCTTCTGTCTGAAATTTGTACAAACTCCACTCTGTCTGTGCAGCATCTCCATAAACAATTCTGACCCGTTAGCGCACTCTTCTGTTCCTTTCATCCTTTCAGTTTGTGCAGGACAGGACAGCAGAACCACAATTGCTCTCAGCATCCACAGTGACAGCACATTTGCTCTAACCCTTTGAGAGAAGGTTGGAAATGGACTTGAGTCAGTCTATAACCTTTAACGCCACTTAACTAATGCTGGTTCTCTTTTTGAATCCTATTGTTAACCCTTTGCACTCGGATGTCAAGTGTGGAGAATGTCGAGTGGATAATGAGAAAAAAGCAAGCGAGTGCAAAGGGTTATAGATTCTTTTAAGTCACTAGCAACTAAGTGATTTTGCTTTAGGTGGGGAAAATGGTTTCATTTTATTGACTTTTTAAGTTTTTCACAGCCTAATTTAGAAAGATACTTTGTTAACTTAAAAAGGAAACCTCAAAAATTGTCTCTAGATGGGTTCTCCATACTTTTGCAGTGCTCTGTTTCCTTCACCCCTTCTTAAGAATTCTGAATGGAAGAGTTCGGGGCTTTCTTCTTTTCCCACATTTAGTCCCTGAACTTTCTTACTTTTGAATTTGAGAAATGTAGACAATTCTAAGATCAAAAGTGTACTACGCTTACAGTCTTTTCTCAATTCCCAGTGCAAAAAACATAAGTGACTTAGACTTTCCTATCCTATAGTCTTTTTAAAATAACTATTTAGGAACACTGCTAGTGTAAAATCACAACAGTGGGTTCTGGGGAAGTCTGGGCTTCATTCATTCATGACCTGGGCTCAAGTTTGTCTTTCCTCTAGCTATTATTGGGAAAAAGAAAATTTACTGAATAAATGAGTAGGGTTAATAAAATTACAAGAGTTGGAGAAGATTTAATCAATATACTGTTTCAAAGCACTTTAATGAATCATGTTTTACACATGACATTTTACTGAATTGGCAAAAATCTTAGAGCAGAAGTGGAACTTATATAACCAAAAGCTCTAATTGCTTTATTTCGCAAATGAGGAAGTTGAAATAAAGAGAAAAGTGGTGTGTTCAGGTTATGATTTTCTTAAATTCCAGAAGTGGGCTACAACCCGTTTCCAGCTGCCTCTCTTCCCTCACTGAAGCTGAGTCCTTTTTATCTAGTCATGCCATCAGGACACAGTGAAGAAGCTACAATACTTTATTAGATTAGAATGAGTTAATTTGAAAATAATTGATAATATGTCAGAAATGAATCTGATTTTCAAACTAATTTACACTGATCTCCTTCTGTTGATTTAAACAAGGTTTTCTTATATTTGGCATTAGTTGTGGGATTTAGTGAATGATAGCTAATCAATCTGCAAATTAACAAAAGAAGGAGAGAATTAAACTTATTTCTATTTTTTATTCTTTATAATCTTTCCAAATTCACATATTTGAATTTATGATAATAGTTATAAAGCTTTCTGAGAAAAAATTTTCGTTAAAATAGAGTTTGGTGAGTAACTGGGTTTTATATTTGGAAACAATTTTGCCCATCAGTAGGAAGTGAACACTATATATGGAGTTTTGAAACAGGGTTGACACTGAATTACCATTAAATATCTGTGTAATGCAAATCACTTAGGGTCTTTAGAACTTTAGAGTGTAGTTGACTTTGAAATATGTTTAATGCTATTTTTTGCAAAGAAAAATTTCCAACTATCAAGTTTTTGCAACTATCTGGGGTTTTTCTGTTTTCTTTGCTTTAGCATTTATGAATTCCTAACTCACTAGACTCTTTTTTATTCCTTTCAGGTAAACATATTGCCAGAAATACAGCATCAGCTTTGCAAAAAGGAAGGATTATGTGAAATAATAAGAAGATTTCCAGGTAATCTTTAGTTTGCTTCCTTGTGCTTAAACATGTGAGATATGCAGGCTTCCTTGGCAGACACCAGCTAATGAGGTCTCAAATCAGCATCTTTAGCTCCTTTGTTTATGAATTTCACTACCACAAATCTTCCATAGTCCACAAAGCTTTGCCAGTGGGAAGACCTTGGTAATAACGAATACAATCATAACATTGATATTCTTTTAGTTTCGCCTTCTGATATGCTAGATGAGTATTTCTTTTTTCTCTTTTCTCTTTTTCTTTAAATTAATTGCTTCTTTATTTTTTATGTAATTATTATAGTAGTTCTTAGTTATATATAAAACTAAGTTTTTTAAAAAAATTCTATTTCTTGATAATTAAGTTATTCTGATCCTAACAAATGTGTTTCTCCATTCTGGAATCTTCTCTATTTGTCTGTGTGTTTAAGACAGGATACTGAATGAATGTGTCCTGACTGTATGAGGAATTTGGGAAAATAAGTATTATCTCTAGTTTCTTCATAGGTTTACAGAGTGAAAAAAAATCAGAAGGTATTAATATATTGAGCCCTCATAGATAAAATTATAGCCTACTTTAAAACCCGTCAGTGAAAAGTTTCCTCAAATTTCTTGTTTAAACTCATTTAATGTTTAGTAGTTTATGTCCCCAGAAAGTTTTTCACTACATAATTAAAATTTAGAACTGCATAGCATTAATATTGTTTTTATTAATTTGTGTGCTAACAGAATCAGAAAACTGATGACATAGCTTAACCCATCAGCTTTTTCACTGGAGTTTCACACCAAACATAAACCACAGTGGCATGTCCCACTGTGAAGATTACAGTCCTCTACTGTCATTTACCAGGAATTAAAATAACATATAATAAAAATGAATCAGTAATTCAACTTTCAATGTAAGATACATGTCTAAAATAGCTGCATGAATTTGGTTCTGTAGTTATTACTTTATGTGACAATTATAACTGACTTCATAATCTCTGTTTTCTCTTTTTGTAAACTTTTGCTAGATTTTTTATTTTATAAAAAAGTAATTTTTGTGATAAGGAATTAAAATAATTATGTTCATTCATACAATATTAATAAATATCCAGAAATTCATTAGTTAAGGCAATCTGAAAAAAATTTGTTTACATTTGAACAGAGCCTACAGATTTTAAAAGTATGGGTGTTTTTGTTTTTGGGTTTTTTTTTTTTTTGGTTGTTATTTAATTTCAGATGGTTGATTCAGAACATTAAGTTTCTTTAGCATTGTAGTTAGCCGAATAGAATCATAGAAGTTAAAAACTATGGTCAGAAATGGATTACCAGTTTTAAAAAAATTCCCTAGATAATGCTTACATAAATTTATATTTTACATTTTGCTTTCATAAAATTAAGTATTTTCTGTCTTTTGCTTTAAACATTTTTTATTCTTAAGAATATCTATAAATTAAATACATTTGTAGTCCTTTCCATACTCTGTCTACTGCGTTAATTTTCTGTTTATCTCTGTGACTAACAGATAGTTTCACAGAATATACAGCCTTTACCTGGAATTCATTCTCCTTTCATGCTATCTTTCTCTAGCAGAAGATAATTTTCTTAGATGTGTAGCTTTAAAGAATTTGTCTGCAACATTATTTTCTAAGTTTTATAAACAGTAGCTTTTGTAGTACTCTGTTGCTATGAATATACAGTATATAATATAAACTCAATATTCATAAAACTAAAAATAGTTTGTTTGTTATGAATGCTGAATATTTAATCTTGAATACAGAGTAGGCAGCAACGTGTCAGTTCCTAAACATGTGGTATTATTAAAAAGGCAAGATAGTAAAACTAAACATAATACCACATAATCTTATATTTCATTTAAAGTCGAAATGGCCTGTGCCATTTTAAGCTGTATTACATTTGAAGGTTGACAAAACACAAATTTTGAAACCAGAGATTTTAGCTCTGCTACCTATTAACTACATGACTTAACTTGAGGGGCTTGTTGGTTTTTGTTTGGTTGGTTTTTTTTTTTTTATTTCGGCATATTATGGGGGTACAGATTTTAAGGTTTCAATAATGCCCATTCTTCCCCTCCCCCCAAAGTCTGAGTCTCCATCATGACCATCCCCAGATGGTGCACATCTCACTCATTATGTATGTATATACCCACCCCTCGCCCCCTCCACCTGCCCAATACCTATTACTGTAGTACCTATGTGTCCACTTAGGTGCTACTCAGTTAATACCAGTTTGCTGGAGAATATATCTGGTGTTGTTTTTCCATTCTTGGATACTTCACTTAGTAGGATGGGTTCCAGCTCTAACCAGGAAAAAATAAGATGTGCTATATCACCATTGTTTCTTAGAGCTGAATAGTACTCCATGGTATACATATACCACATTTTATTAATCCATTCTTGGATTGAGGGCACTTGGGCTGTTTCCACAGCCTTGCAATTATGAATTGTGCTGCTATAAACATTCGAGTGCAGTGTCTTTTTTGTAGAGTGTCATGGTTCATTGTAGAATGCCAGCAATGGGATTGCTGGATCAAATGGTAGATTCATTGTATCGCTTTAGGTATTCCATATTGCTTTCCACAGAGGTTGAAGTAGTTTGCAGTCCCACCAGCAGTGTAGGAGTGTTCCTCTCTCTCGCAACCACGCCAGCATTATTGTTTGGAGTTTTTGATAAAGGCCATTCTCACTGGGGTTAAGTGATATCTCATTGTGGTTTTGATTTGCATTTCCTGATGATTAGGATGTTGAGCATTTTTCATGTTTGTTGGCATTCTTCTATCTTCTTTAGAAAAGTTTCTGTTCAGTCCTTTGCCACCTTTTAATGGGTTATTTGATTTTTTCCTGATTTCGTGAGTTCTAAGTATATTCTAGTTATCAGTCCCTTATCGGATGCATAGGATGCAAAATTTTTTCCCATTCTGTAGGTTGTCTGTTTACTCTCATGACTATTTCTTTGGCTGTGCAGAAGCTTTGTAGTTTGATCATGTCCATTTATTATTTTGTTGTGCTGTGATGCCTTTGGGGACTTCTTCTAAACTCTTGCCTAGGCCAATGTCTAGGAGAGTGTTTCCAACTTTTTCTCTAAAGTTCTAATAGTTTCATACCTTAGTTTAAGTCTTTATCCAGCATGAGTTGTTTTTGTGAGAGGTGAAAGGTGTGGGTCCTGTTTTAGCCTTCTACCAGGTGGCTATCCAGTTTCCCAGCACCATTTATTGAAAAGGGATTCTTTTCCCAGATATGTTTTTGTCTGCTTTGTCAAGATTAGATGGCTATATGAGGATGGTTTTATATCAGGATTCTCACATCTGTTCCACTGGTCATTTCCTATTTTTGTGCCATATATATTGATTTAATTACTACAGCTTTGTAGTATAGTTTGATATTTGGCATTTATAACCTCCCTTTTTGTTTTGTTGCCTAGAATTGCTCTTGATATTCGGGTGTCTTCTTTGGTTCCATACGAAGCTAAATTATTTTTCTATATCTGTGAAGATGCTGATGGGATTTTAATAGGTATTGCATTGAATCTGTAGATCAGTTTTGGGTAGTATAGACATTTGATGTATTTGAGTCTGCGATCCCGAGCATGGTATGGATTTCCATCTGTTTACATCCTCTGCTATTTCCTTCCTCAGTGTTTCATAGTTTCCCTGTAGAGTCTTTTACGTTGGTTAGATATATTCTAGGTACTTTAATTTCTTTGTTGCTATTGTGAAGGGAATTGAGTCTTGATTTGGTTCTCTATTAGATTGTTGTTGGCGTATATATGCCTTGATCTGTGTATTGATTTTGTATCTGAGACTACTAAATTCTTGATCAGTTCCAGGAGTTTTTTGGTTGAATCTTTGGGTTTTTAGATACATATCATATCATCAGCAAACAGTGAAAGTGTTGATCTCTTCTGCCCCTATTTGGCATACCTTTGATTCATTTTTCCCTGTCTGATTGCTGTACCAGACTTCCGCACTTATGTTGAACAGAAGTTGGGATAGCTGGCAGCCTTGTTGCGTTCCAGTTCTAAGTGGGAATGTTTTCAATTTTTCCCATTCAGTATGATGTGGCGTATGGCGTCTGTCATGATCTATGGTTGCTATCATTTTTAGGTTGTCCTTTACTGCATTTTCTTAAGTGTTCGTTATGACAAGGGTGTTGAATTTTGTCAAAAGCTTTTTCTGCATCGTATTGAAAGATCATGTGGTCTTTGTTTTGTTCTGTTTATGTGGGAATTGGATTTATAGATTTACGTTGGTTGACCATCACCTGCATCCCATGGGGATGAAGCCCCTGGGTGGTGGTGGATTATTTTTTTGATAAGTGTCTGATCGGTTAGTAAGATTTTGGTTGAAATTTTTGCTCTATATTCATTAGTGATATTGGTCTGTAGTTTTCATAAAATGGATCATAAGATCCATTCCATAGGTTTCATTTTAAAGATCAAAGTAGTTCTATTGTCATTATAGTGGGTATGTATAATTTGATTTGAAGAATAAAGCATATTATATATTATTTGTAACACAATGCTCAAAAAATAGTAAAAGGGTAATCCTATATTTGAAAAATCAAACAACAGCCCTCACAATAATTAATATTTTCTCTTTACATGATAAATTATCACTAAGATTTTATGTTTCTGTCAAGCTACAAAGGATCTACCTAAGTTTTACCCTACCTGCCACAGTTTCGTAAGTGTTGGCAGAAGACATGAGATGCCTGGGTCAAGGACAAACGACATTTTTATTTATAGCAATAGCAGTAAGCATACTATCAGCATTTGTACTAGTTCACTGTACCCCAGTTCACCTAGCCCCCACTGGGTGATGTTTGTATACACTTGGCCCTCCATATCTATGGGTTCTGTATCTCTGGATTCAGCCAACCATAGATAGAAAATATTAGGAAAAATAATTCCACAAAGTTCCAAAAAGCAAAACTTAAATGTGTTGCATGCTGAATACTGCATTGACTCCACAGGAAGTGATATGTAGGCATTATATTAAGT